CCTACAGGTGAAGAGGTTTTGTCTGATGCCTTACAACACTGTGGTCCTGTTCCCCCTTAGTTTTATGTCAAACTTAGGTGGATATTGGTTCTGGGGAATTTAGCAATGGACCTCACAGCCATTTACGAGAGGCATAATGGACAGTGGTGAGTATTAAGGGAAGTTCAAATCACCATCTTACAGTTGAGGCTGGAACTGTTGTCGATCAGCTTAAATTTTCTTTGATATGATACCGCTGATTCTGCAGCATGCTTTTTAAACTAGTCCTCAATCAAAGGATGTTCTGGTTTTGGATAAATCCCTTTCTGGCTAAGCTGTTGAAAGGCAGACACACTTTGTTGTTCCCTGTTGGAATATGTGGCTCTGTGGCACCTGCAAGTTGATTTGGAGGAGAGGTTGGAACATGTGATAGGATTTCGTGTATGATCTGGAACACTTCTTAACCCCTACAAGGGAACTAAAGCTTAACATTCAAAAGAAGAGTCCTCTGCAGGAATTGGTGAGTGTAAGAAGGGTGCGTAGTGATGGATCTTTCAGCTCCTATGGGCTATGGAGGAGTCTCTTTATAAAGAGCTGTTGTAAATCATCAGGTAACTGTGGCAGAAACCGTGAGGTTTGTAGGAGCAATGCCAAACAGGAGAACTACAAAATAGCAAGGAACTCCTGCAAGGTGTGAAGAGCAGACTTACTGAACTTAGGTAACACAGGAGTCCTTCACTAGTCCTTAAATTAGCCCAGTTTTCCTTGTAATTCGTAGCCAGACCAAGTTCCCTCTCAGAGAATGGAGAATTCACTGCTGTCCTGGTTACTTCTGTGTAATTTCTGGGTTGTTTGTTGCTTCTCTTAACTGGCACCAGCACAATAAAGCAAGCACTGAGATCTTGTTTTCATGCTCGGTAATGAACCGTGCATTATTCACATGTATCCTTACCAGGTTATGACTCTTGCAATAAACTTAGATGTTGACACATCATTTTTCAGGTATCCATTGAAAAGTGCAAAAGTAATAGGTGTAGCCCTGAAGATATGACCTCATCTGATGTGAGTTATAACAAAGAATAAATTATGGATTCTTCAGTGAAGTCTACTTGGATTTTTTTGTCACACTGACACTTGTGCTATGGATAGAGTAGTGGGATGAGCGGTAGAAAGAAACACCTCCAAAGCATGAGTGGCAGAAGTGGTCCTGCGTGGTAGCCCTGCCACAGTGGCTCTGCATAGCCTGTTAGTGATGCATATTGCTTCAGGTGTCGGTCCTGCAGATGCCAAGGTACAAAGAATTCCCTTCCAGCCCACCAGGGACTGTTCAGTGTTTTAACAGGAACTATGCTTTTGTTAAATCTTGCACAATTTAACTGAGTGTGATTAATGTTGCAGACTCTTTAAAATCCTGGTGCTGATAACCCCTGAGCAAAATTGCATAGACTAAACTAGCTCATTAGATGTTCAGCCTTCTTAAATTTTGAAGGTAGAACAGTCTTTCCCTTGGTATATTAACTTTTACTACAACAATCACTAAATAGGGAAAAGAGGGGTTTTTTTAAGGTAAGGAGCTTACTACTACTTGCCAGTTGGTGGTGGGTTTTTTTGTAAAGTAAAATTAGGGATCACAGGAATAAGCTTGCCTTCTGGCAGTGTGAATGTTGCATTTTAAACTTTTTGGGAGTGCTGTTTAACCAATTTTATGGAATAAAATGGCAATGCTTAATTCTATGCTTAGCACTTTGGAGTCTTGCCAGGGTATCTGACTTTGTACAAGTACTCGGTAATGAACTGAGCTAGTTTTAAAGTTTCACAGCTGAGGCACAGTACTTGTGCAGAAAATAATGCACTTCCCAAAAAGGCAGAGGCAGAGCACCCTTATGTAAGTGGCATGTTAAAAAGTTAAAGGCTAGTTGCTGTCATAGACTACTTCGAGGGCCTTGGTACTCTATGCTTTCAAGCTAAATCATTTCCTTAACTCTGTTGCTGGGGTATGTATCCGTACCTTCAGATCAAGCAGTAGGGCTGGGGCATGGGCAGACAGGTGGCAGGGGGACAGTCTTGCAATAGCAAACAGCCAAAGGGCTTTTGTCTTCAATATGTGAAAATAAAGCAGCATTGTCCTTATTCTCTTTTCCTCTGTGCCTGCATCCCTCTGTCCCTCCTTAAGGTTTGGAGAGCTGGGCCATGCAGGTGAAGGTATATGAAGGTGGATCACCCCTCTCCTTGTTGAAGGGGTCAGTTCTGGAGACCTAAACGGTGCTGGCTCATTGCCCAGACTCTTCTGCTTTCAACCTCTGTAAATCCACTTGCTCAAATGAGAGTCACCATAAATACCATTAAAAAGCAAAAGGAAAGCTGTGAAAAGAGTTGTCTCTGTGTGAATTAGTTAGTAAATGATGTAAAAATGGGAAGAAGTCTTTTGTTTCCTGCACTTGACCAAATCTGGCAACTGTGCTTTTGTTCAGATTCACAGGTTCTGAAATGTTGTCTTGCGTTCTGGTGCTGGCATGTTTCTATACCCTTTCATATATCTCTGTATAAACATACTTTGTGCATTGTTTACTATGGAACTAGTATTGATGGAGAAAAACACTTTGAGGTAAAACTGTTATTTGTTGTGTGTACATTTTTTTCAAGGCACCATTTGTTTACTTCAATTTAATGGAATGGACCAATAAATGTATTAAAAAATGACTCCTTTACTTAGAATATAAAGTTTCATTTTTTGTAACCTTTGTCATTGAAGTGATGTGTGCATTTATTTTGTGGGCAACTCACTATCTTGCTGCAGAAATATCCTTCCCTTAAAATCTTATTTCACTGCTGATTTAACTAAAAGTAATCTGTCTGTTGCTGTAATAAATCTCATATTACTTGAAAGTGAAACCTGGAGCTGAGGAAAGGTTGCAAGAGCATGTGGGGGGCTGGGGGGAGCAGGGGTAGCAGCAACTTCCTCAGAATAAGGGGTTGCACAGTGAGTAATCAACTTCTGCTTGCTGTGTCTCTAGCTTGACCTGAAGCTGCCCCATTTGCCTCCAGATTATTTTGGTGACTGAAGGGCTTTTAACTTGCCTTTACTTAGTCCAGGAGCTTGGAAGTCACTTAATTCTTGTTAATTCAATTAGCATGTAAGTAGAAACACAATTTAAGCCCTGATCCCTCTGGGGCATGCCAGTCTTTTGAATCATTTACCTAACAGCATCTTACGCCAGGTACTATATTGTATGAGGTTCCTTTTGGTAGATA